TCAAAACTTAATTTTTGATTAGTAATATGCATTGCTAAGAACTTCATTTGGACAACTTTAAAGATGATTTTCTCAATATTTAGATTTTTTTGCACCCTCAGATTCCAGATTTTCAAATAGTTGTATCTTGTTCTATCCTAGCAAACCATACATCAATGGAAAGCTCATTTATTCAGCTTTCAGATGATGCATAAATCTCAATTTGGAAAAATTGACCCTTATGACTGGTTTTGTGCTCCAGGGTCACATATAAAGGCCAATTCACACTGCACTGACAGACACTGACAAAACGCAACAGACACTTTAGTCAGGTTTGGTTGGATCGGTGTGTTACTCCTGTCAGTGGTCGGCGCTTGTTTTAACTGCTTGAACATGTTGAAACGGCATTTGTTGGGTCTTAGAATGTCTGAGAAGTGACGTACTGTACTCGGTCATCTGTCGGCGTTGGTCTGCGTCTGTCAGTGCGGTGTGAACTGGCCTTAAGTGAAGTAATGATGAACATGTGACAAATGATTTTTGCCAAATCAGAATAAAGTGAATTTAGAATCAGTTTTCTGTATCTGTTTGTTAACACACACACTAACGATACATAATTCTGAATGTACCATTTGTAACATACAGGTTCAGTTGCTGGTCTATGTGTGTGTGTGTGTGCGTGCATGCATGAGTGTGTGTGTAAGTGTTTGCGCGTGTGTGCGTGCATGTGTGTGTGTGCATGAATGAGTGCATGAGTGTGTGTGTGTGTGTGTGTGTGTGTGCATGCACAGCTGCATCTCATCAGGGGCCGGTGGCTCGTTTGCTCCTGACAGCGTAATGAAACTCTGTTCTCTTATAACAGTGTTGATGATCAGTGAGGAACGCAGCAACAGCCCTGTTTATTCATAGTACGAAGCAGAGCACTTATAGTGTGTGTGAGAGAATCCAGGAGCAGTGAAGCTCGTATCTCTAGCAGAGCAGCTTACTGTGGTTCTGCTATTAATGGAACGTTTACTTTGATGCATGCATCAGATTTTTGTGTTCCACAGAAGATAGTAAGTCGTGGAGGTTTGGAGTCACATGAGGGAGACTAAACGAGGACACTTTAACAGTCAAGACTGATCTTTCTCTTCACACAGGAAACTGAAGATCACACGCTTTGCATTCTGGGATTCCGTATAGTGTTCTCTGTTGTTTTAGATTACAGGTTTTGAAATGCATTTGGGGAAAATAGCTTTAGCTAAAAACTGTATGCATGAAGAATTTCAGAATCAGAATGAGCTTTATTCACAAACACAAGGAATGTGTTGTGTTTTTTATGAGCTCTTGGTACAAACAAACATGCATGCATGCATATACAACACTGACAACAGAAAGAACATTTACATAATAATGTGGTATACATCTGAAACGGAAGCTTTATGTACATATTTGTGCATTATTTACTGTATGTACAGCTGTATAACTATGTATTTACATAATTTCTACCTATTTTCTCTTGGTGCTGCTAGATAAGGCCTTTATCCAGTTTCTGGATCTTTCTAACCAAACTACAGAAAGGGTTTGAGATAGATAGATAGATAGATAGATGTGTGAATGTAAATATTTCAATCACTGGGGTTCCAGAGTTGTCGAAAAGCTAATAATCAAAATGACTATAAATAAATGATAAAAATTAATAATAATTAAGATTGTCAAAAAAGGCTGAAATAATGCATTTGTTTGCTGTACTGTACGTCGTGGGAAGATTAACCGACATCAGAAAACCGTGAACATCCGAATGTGTTGATAAATTACTGAAATATTAAAATCTGCTATATTTCAGCTCAAATGGGATCAGCTGACAAGAGCTTGTGAACGTCAGTGTCCAGTAATATCCACTAGATGGCGCTCACAGCTCATTTACTGCCAGCATCAGGGACAGTTCAGCGAGATTAGCCACATATGAACATGTAGAGCTTTTAAAATGATCATCACGTGAAGCAGTTCTAGAGCTGCATGTTCGCACACACCTGATGGAGATCATCAGCTCGCTGTCAGACCTTCACGATGAGAGACACGGAGAAAGTGCTGATCCAGGACCAGCTCAGAGAGACTAACACACTGTTAGGGCCATATCGTGAGAACACGGAGGAAAAAACAGCTCGGTTTTATTCAGACTCCAACTGAGCACAAATATGAATCTGCTGCAGATGCTGAATTTAAATGGACAAAAGGTAAAGGAGAGAGACTCTAACATACCTGTGTGGAGATGTGAAGGTGTGTGACCACGCGTGTCTCAGTTCTGGCTGATGTGGATGTTGCTGCTGTAATCCCTTTCAGTGCTTCACACACACACACACAGAACCACATCAAAGCGGAAGTCAGTGAATATGAGTGAGTGAGCTGTTAAACACTAACCTCATCCTGACACACTCCTTCATTTCTCGTGCATCTGCTCTAGTCTCAGAAACACTGGCTTGTATCATCAGACGCTTTACCTGCACGAGCCAAACTTACATTAAACGACATAATTTATGATAGTAGCATGTGCACCATCACACACACACACAACAGCACTTTCAGTATTAATAATGTGCATGATATTGCACGTCAGAGTCGCTCCTGAGTTTAGTGTGAATACAAAGCTTGTTTGATTTACATCCGTGTTGTTCTCGCTTTATTTGACATGCAAATTCAGAGTTTGTCACTTGACTCATTTGCAGAAGCAGAAGTGGAAACGCGCGTTCAACATGAAAACGGAAGGAGCGCGTTAAATGTGATCAGCAGCCGCGGTCGGTCCGCGCGGCCACTCATGCAGAGCCCCCCCAGCGGCCCTCCGCCGCCCGCAGAGCCAATCACCCGCGGCCGCTGGAAGGAGGACAAGCCGCTTCCTGGTTGCGGGTTTAAGGAGGAGCCGCCGGAGTCCGTCAGGAGCGGGTCAGAACCGGCGGAAAGACACCAGCCGCTGCCGGGGAGCGGACGCGTCACATCGAGGAAGTGCGGTCAGGTGGGACACGGCGGGGGAAACTCAGGTGACACCGGCTCAGGTAAAGCGCTTCTCTTCCGTACAGCGCGAAGCAGGCGTCGCGCGGCTATTTCATCGGCGTTTTCTTCCGTTTCACCGACATTCGCTCTGCTTTAGTTCATTAGTTTCATCTCTAGCCCGGGGTCACGAGAGGACGCACACGTCACGGGTGCTCGGTAACTCTCGTGTGACGTGTCGAACATATTCTGCTCCCGTTCTGTCACTAGAAACGCTTCATTCATTCATTCGGCGTTTACCTGTGCGTGCGTCTGACAGGTGAGTGACACGCGTTGGAATAATAACCCGGGTTTGGTAATACTTGGTTTTAATGCTGAAACGCGCTGAGATGCACGTTTTGAGGCGGACTTGTCCTCGCGGAGGGACCGGCTGAACCCGCTGAACCGGATCCGCTCGTGAGCTGAAGTCGAATTTAACTGTAAAACACCTGAAGCTGCTGCTGTTTGTGTGTTGGACGGTCCGCAGCAGCTGCTGTGCTTCTTTTTGTTTTGTTTTTATTAGTCCTGTAGTTCAATTAGACTCTCACCTGCTGTCAGTCATAATTAATCCCCCCCCCCTTCACGGCCGTTGTCATAGTAACTTAATTACTCGGGTAACTCGGTCGGTCGGTTCCTCCGCTGAACGGGTGAAAATGAGTTTAACCCTGAAAAGCCTGAAATATCAAACAACACTCTAGTGTAAGAGTTTATAGACAGATGTTGTTGTTTTTTTTAATATTGCATGTGTTTTTGTTTGAATATCATATCTGATCCATCAGGCTTTTAAAAACAGAAACAGCTCAGTTTTATTCAGAGACAAAATATGAATCCGCTGCAGATGCTGATATTTATTATATCCTCCTGAGACCCAGCTTTGGAGTTTTTGTCCCTGTAGAAGACAGCAGGACTAAAAGTGTGTTTATTACGCATATTTGGAGGCACAACAAATGAATAGGAAAATAAATTATATATCAATATTCTTATGAAATATTATTATTATGAAAATCTGGCCAATTATTACTCCCATTATTACACTTCTTTTTTCAACATGCTGTCCCAACAGCGCATTAATATGCAAATTATGTACAGAGTATAGATAACATTGTGTTTAATGGGAAAACTAGTTTATGGAAATTTTACACACATATTGCATGAAGTAAAATGGTATATCAAATAATTTTGTTATATCTAATATAGTTGAGAATCATACTTATACAAAGTTTGGTTTAAAAAAAAAATCCTGAAACCTAAAAATTCCCATTGTTTTTGCCTTTTCATGTCTATTCATGTCATTTTATTTTCCTCTACAGAGGACATAGCATAACATATGAATAAAATATAATTTTTAAAAAATGTATGCTTATGCTCTAAACAATGTAATGACATGAAAAAATACTAAATTAAATACTGACATAAAATGATCTAAATATCAGCGGTCGCTCTATATCTCCAGTAATCTGTCTCAGTAAGATGAGATTGAAATGCTCCAAACATATAATGCAGTGATTGAGAGCTGAAGAAATAAAGGCTCCTCAGAAGATGTGAGATGTTCTGGAGGCTTGTGAAGATCATTCCTCCGCTGAGGAACAGTGAAAGTAAAGCTTCTGGAAACAAACGCTCCTCAAAAGATCCTGAGGATCAGATTTGAGACTCTAAAACATGATTGATGGAGAATCAAGTAAAGCTGAGCTGCTTCAGTCCAGTAAGTGTTCATCTGGAGATATTACTGCAGTTATTCTGACGCTTACTTGATCAAAACCAGTCAAGATTTGACACGAGAAGCTCCAGCTACAGTTACACTAAAAGAGCTTCGACTGGATAAACACTCTAAACGATCAATCAGAGACAGAAGGCTTGAGGAGATCGAGTGTGAAACGGGTTTATATTCATGAATCATATAAGCTATGATGCATTAGGCTTTATAGTGTTAAAGCACTTTTATATGAAATGCATAATGCACATTGATTAATAATCTTAAGATTATAGTGAACTGTTTTATTTTTAGGCTTTACATTTATGTGCAATTGAACTAAATAAGATGTTAAAGTTAGCACTTGTTCTGTGAGGTTTCAGTGTCTGTAGGAGTGATGTGAAGACATTACAGATGAGTGAATGAAATATTCAACCATTCAGAGTAAATGATGCTGTTGTGTTTTTCTGGAATGGTGTGATACGAGTGCAAGACGTTCGTATGTGATTTCCAGCATCAGACGCATGAGTGTTTCTCATGTTAAAGCTCTCGCTGGCCAGCGTGATCGAAGCCACGCGATGTTTCTGTGTGCAGCGTTTTCACTGTCCGTGTTTCATGTTGCATTTCATTAGTATCGTACACTAAACGCTCTTTCTTTTGCGTGTTTTGACTGTGTTTGTTTGCCTGTTCATCAGGATTGACCCAGAGCGAGAGAGAGACGGACAGACAGAGGAGCGTCTGTGAGTTTATGGACTGGAGGTAAGAGCGATGTGTGTGTGCATGTGAGTGTGTGTGCGCGGGTGTGAGAGCGGTTCGGCATTTCTGCAGTGGTCATATGACTGATGCTGACAGAACTGTGACCGTCGCTCATGGATTTCCCTCTTCCTCTAAAAAGACCCTCAGACGAAACACACACCCACATGCGTGCACCCACACACACACACGCTGTTCCTGTAAATGCTGTATTCAGGGCATGTGGAGCCATGTAAAAATTTCCCCATATCGCACTTACAGTTCTCACTTTCATGCAGTCACAGGAGAGAGAGAGAGAGAGAGATGGGGAGGGGAGAGTGATAAGAGAGAGAGAGACAGGCGTGTGTAGGGTCATATGCTCGATCGCCCGTGTGTCATACAGTGAGCGTTTGCTCTGTCTGTCTTTTAGGAAGTGGAATCATTAGCGTTTCCTTTTTCTGATGCAAAGTTTCACCCCTGTCGACAACTTTGCTTGACCACCACACACACACACACACATTGACTGTCAGTAAGGTGGCGTTTACTTCTGCTGCTGTAATTATAATGACTAACACAAATCCTTAACCAGAACATTCAGTATGCATTTCACTTTATTTGAATTATGAATCATTTTTCTGTCTTTGATCAGATGTGCTGTGCTGGAGACACTTGTACTTCACATACATTATTAATATGTGTGTATGTGTGTAGTGTGGGCGGGTCTTTGCTGATGAATGTGAAACACTGATGCCGCTCATGTGACGCTGACCCTCGGCTCCTGTCAGACTCGAGTTTTTCTGCTGCTGAGCTTCAGAGGAGAAACAGGAAATAGATGAGGATCAGTTAGTTTTGCAACATCATCTTCACACACACAAACACACACTGCACCCATTACACTTAGGCATGAAGCAGTGAAATCCTTCCAGAAACTCTTGACTGATGTATTTACGACACACACCCACAGCATCCAGCATCACACTCACTCTCTCTCACACACACACACACACTCTCTCTCTCTCACACACACACACACACTCTCTCTCTCTCACACACACACACACAC